TTTTTATTACAAGTATTAATGATACTCTTTATTTCAGGGGTTTAGATGCATATTTATGCACTTTTTTACAATTTTTACAATTTTATATTATATTTTTCAGTGTTAAGTGTATTTGGGGGCCTGGAACGGATTAATCCTACAATGAATGAATGCTATAACGAACAAGGTTCTAGAACCAATTAGATTCGTTATAGCATACCCCACTGTATATGTAATGTATTTCATGGGGCAAAGGGAGGCTCAGGAACGTAACTCTCGTATTTGATATATTTCTTATGGGGAAAATTGATCCGCTTAACGTTGTTTCGTATAATATCGCATTTTTAGGAACGTAACCCTAACGTTAAGCGAGGACTTACTGTAATACCAATTTTTTATTCCACAATTGCTCTCTACTTTAAAGCTCTACCCACTTTTTGTGATCAAAATTGCAATTTTTTCAATGAATAAATTGTATTATTTCACTTGTTGCCATTAAATGAATCTCTGGAATTTTAACCTTGATTTTTTTGTAAAAAAATCTCTATATTCTCAGAAACTATTGATTTACACCACAAATGAAGGTCAAATTCGTTCATAACATCAAAAAGCATCAGAAAAACGCAGTTTCAACTTTGACTTTTTATAGTGGCAACAAGTGAAAATTTATCGAATCAAAAATTAAATATTAAATAAAAATATATTAATTTCCGACAAAAATGCTATTTAGTAGACTAATTATTCTTATATTGGCTAGTATTCAGTTTAGCACATTACTCGGACTTCAAGATGAAAAGAGGTGGTTCTTATATAGAATTTAATTCTGATTCGATTTTCTTCTGTGGTATATCTTGTGCAAATCGATAATAATTGAGATATAAGCAATATTTGGTTCAATTAAAATGAGCATCTGTCGACAAAATCAATGTGTCAATTACGATGCAACCCTTACCAACCATAACGTGATGGCCAGGAACATGGCGTTAATTTGGGTTAGGTTTTTAATGTTTGGTAGTGCCCCATATGCACTTTTACCCCACAATTTGTGGACATGCACACATTAACTTGATTGATCTGGTTTGAGAATGGTGAGATGTATTGAGATGTTTGTATATTGTGATGTTAAGTGATGGGGAAACCTTGTTCAGAGGTTAGAGAGTGTCTGGGTATTGAGGATACAGTATTGGTAAAGTTTTGCTGAGAGGTAGAATGAGATGTGTGGGTGTGGAGAGTCATGGGAAGAAGTTGTCATATTTTACCTCAGAGAGAAGCTCCTGACTAGAGTGGTTGCAAGAGATCATGCAGCCAGGAGAGCTGTCATCATGGCTAACACTCACTTTCTTTACCCAGGGATGATCTCTCACATACATTTAGAGTGAAGGACTGTGGTCGCCAACCCTCAGATATACGGATGGTACTCCGACTGGTTGATGTAGATGATGGGTCTTTCTTTGGGAGAAATTGTTGTGATTCACGTTACTCTTATTATCATATAATATAGAGCCAACAAGAAAATAATCAGCACCTTTGCAGTATTATACAATATGATTTACCTGACCAAAAATTCTGACAGGTGTTCTCGTGTTATGCCATATGTTGGTAGCCCTGCACTCCATACGTCGAGTTGCCAGTTACTTTTTATCTTCAGTTTTTTATAAGGTATTCAATTGTGTTCTCGTGTACAATGTGCTTAACGTGATAAGAATAAAGCAGTGAACAGAATATCTTATGTATAAAGTAATACTATAGAGGTTTAGTAAGCTTGTTTCATAACCCATTTATTTCTTTACAGCAACTAATGAAATAGTGTATGGCTTACAAAACTTACTATTTGATGTTATTCTTCCATCCAAGTCTTATATTTCATTCAATATTGTTACTTTAAATCAAATATAAGTTATAATACAGTACTGAGGAGTTACAGGAACCTCACTTCATCCCATAATGCGGTACAGTACAGTAAACCCTCGCTATTCGCGGGTTTGCGATTTCGACTATTCATGGTAAGCAGACAGTGGCTAGCTTACGAGCCTCTCCCACAGCGCACCAAGTCACCCCCACACACTCGCAGCGTCTCCTCTCCCTTTGTTTGTACTCAACCATTGCCTGTGATGCAGTATCTCTTGTGTTGTACTCAAAACTGTAGTGTTTCTGTGCGAAATGGCCCCTGAAAGACTGCCCAGTGTCAGTGCTAGTGGAAACAACTACCAGTCACGATGTTTTTCAAGAAAGAACCAGACACTTGCCCAGCTGATTCTTCTCCCTCACCTACTCGGTCAACTGCTGCTGCTCCACCACTCACTTCCCCGCCACCTCACCACCCACTTCCCGACACGTGCCTCTCCACCACCCACCACTGCATCACCCTCTTCCAACAGTGATCCTGATGATCTCCCTATGCTTCAGTAACCAGGTTTCATTCTACTGTACAGTACTCTTCATCAAGCTCTAAACTTCCACTACAAAGGAGAGTAGTATTGGTGACTTAAGTTTCTCATACACAGTACAAGTATATAGTAGTGCACTAAGGTAGTATAAGTTGCAATTCACAGTTTTCCCAATTTGCACCATTCCTTGGAACCTATCCCCCACAAAGAGCAAGGGTTTACTATATGTGAAATTCCTAAAAGCAAGTGAAAGACTTTTCTTTTTTGAGTAATACAATGTAGTGTATTATAGTGTCTGTTTTTTTGGTTTGGTCTTCTATGTATCCCTGTTGATTTCTGTTTTAACTATACTATAATGTACGTGATATATAGGATATACTGTACTTTACAATATCCTATTTGTTACACCATGCTTCACACAATCAGAAATACTATCAAATGACTATAACCTCAGCCACAGTGATCATTTTGAAGACCATCAGACCAGGGGTGAAGCTTCTTTTGCTGACTGTACAGTAACAATCCAAAGTTTCGACACCCCCCTGGCTTGGTGTTCGCCGAGGCCAGGGTTGAGGTAAGGCTGGGTGATCGGACGCAGACATTCCACCACCACAACACTCCGAGACTCACAGCACACGAGCATGGAAGGAAACTTTTACGAATTTTGACATGACATGAACCTGCATAACAAAATTTAATTCATAACATTGTTGACACATAACAATAGCAAGTTAGGAGTGAGGCATGAGAAACTTGGGCTGTTCTCGACCCAGTTATGAAATATGAATATTGATAAACATCATGTGTTGATGGACTTAGAAGTATCGTGACACTACTACAGACAAGGAATAAGCTCCATCACAGCATGGAGGAGCCTTGCGTCGTCAGCTGGTAATGTGACACTAGGGGGCCCAGACCTCGACGTGTCCTCCCCCTCAAACCGCCTTATCCATTGTCTTACAGTAGACTTGCTGATCCCCATAAGCCGACTGATTTCACTAATTGATGTTCCACCCTGACAGTGACCCACTATCAGAGCTCTGTTGGCTATCACCTCCAGGCGATTGGCTCGAGTGTTAGGTGGACGTAGCCCACGTCCTCCAGCCAGAATATCCATATCTGTTGGAAATTAGCTCCAAGTTACCAAACACCATGATTAGAACGTCATAGATATTTATCATTCAGGTGAAAAATATAAAATAATCATATGCGTAACTAGTTGTAATATTGGTGACCTCAGTGCCATGACTCTCATAATCCGAGACATATGAAGTGAAATTTAAAAAATAAAGCAGCAGTAGACAGGAAACAAGGCAAGTGACCAAGAAGTAGTCACTAGTGATGACACACGGCCAGACATCTACGCTGAGGGTCGAGGTCTTCGGCAAAGTCGCTGCTCCGGACCAGACAAAAATTGTTTGGGTGATACCATGATTAATGTGAAGTGCAACATTCCCAGCCAAAATACTCCAATGTGGTAACTGATACACCATTAAATATTGTAAACCTGACTATATGAATTCCTAGTGTGTGTGAAACCATAATATTCCCAGGGTTATGATAATATCTATACATGTATCGGCCTCACCTTGTCGACTGACCGCTCACTCCCTCTTGACAAAATTCGGCCGCCGGCAACCCTTTATAAATGCTGCCCTGATGATTCATGTGTAATACGAGGACTCAAGTCTAGTGGTTCCAAGCCAGTGCTTTGGGACCGGGCAAAGTTTTTCATGCTTCAATCTTAACATGTCATTGTTGTGTGGCAACAATGTTATGAATGCATTTGTTATGCTAGTTGATGCCATGTCAAAGTTGGTAATAAGTTCCTTCCTGTGCTCTTGAGTTATGAGTCTCGGAGTGTTGTGGTGGTGGAATGTGAACTTCACCATCGTAGTGCCTCGTTACCACATTGCTGAACTAGTCTGTGTCCGATCACCCAGCCTTACCTCAACCCTGGTCTCGGCGAACACCCAGTCAGGAAGGTGTCGAAACTTTGGATTGTGACTGTACATAGCACTTATTTTACTTGGGTAAGAGCTGCAGGGATGGGTTCAATTCCGTTTTGTCAATTCAGATTCAAATCTAATTCCGACTAAATAAAAATTTATCAATTACAGTTCATTTCAAATCTTTTGTGGAAAAGAAATCATCAATTCCAATTCAATTCATGTGTTTATCAATTACAATTTAATTAAATTTGTCAATTTAATATTAAAAAAAAAGCAAAGTTTCATAGCATTTATTTTCATACAAGTTGAAACAATATCAATACTGTACAGTAATACATTGACCACATCAAAAAACACATTTTATAATTTTGAGATAACATCATTTCACATCAGTTCATCGCATCAATTCCAATTCATTTTATTTTTAAAAATTGCTTACTTCAATTCCAATTCAATTTATAATTAACCCAATCCCCAGTAAGGGATTGGGTTACACTACACTTCCTCTGAGTGAATAAATGTTTTGTGTGACTTGATTCTGGACTCATTTCTCTTGGTGTTGTTAGTCAGCAGGAACAGAGATGACAGATGTGGTACGTACACTACTTTTGTAATTCCTGTTCGAGTTTTGCAGCTATGGGATCATAGGTCTTTAACTTAGTCTTATTTTTTCCATCTACAGGTGTAGTGGTGGGTACAGGTAGAAGACATGCCAGAGCTCTGACAACAAAAGTTCTCCCTTATAATCAAATTCAAGATGGTGATAGTGGAAAGGAATTGCGAGTGCCTCACGACTTCAGGTAATACTTTACTCTCACAAAGCTATTACAGATGACCCAGTTTAAAACACCATTGGTGCACAGTAGCTTGATATATAACCTATATATAGTCTGTAAGAGTTGTTCCTGCCTCTGTGTCACGCTGCCTCCCTCAATCTGATGTCACAGATTTTTCCCCAAGTTTCCATTATACAGTAGTGAATTTCCATAAAACCAATTTTTGAAGTTGTGGGGATGACTTTACAGTATACAGTTGGTATAGGATATTACCTTACGTTGGGCTTTCCCTGCGTTCATGATGCTTGATTGTCTCAAGCTTGGTTTCAATTATCACAGGTTTGTCAGCGTGGCAGACTGTTAGACCAGCCCCCAGCTCTCCCTCTACCTACTGTTGGTCATCCTCTAACTACTGTACGAGATGTAAATATTATTGTTAATAGAGTAAATACAGTAAGTATCTTTCTTCCTACAGAACAGTCTTCCCAGAGTTTTTACCTGACCCAAAGCCTGAATGGAGAAATAGGCTTCGTGAAAAACTGGAACGCAGAGACATGGTGGCACGGAGGTGTGTGACGGAGATCCCGGAGTTTTACGTTGGTAGGTTGCCTTTACGTACGGGCGTATGTGTATATCAACCTCTGGTAATTACTGCAGTTCTATTTATCTGTTTATGGAGTGTTCTCCTAAGTCACATGGAGGACACGTACCATAAACAAGTTGAGGTTGATTGATTCACAGTACTTGTAGATGAAACTGAACATTTTGGAGATGAAGGATTTGGAGTGTGAGTCTGGAATATCCACAGAATTGTTATAAATTGATGTACACACTTAACCCTGCTTTACGTGCAATATGTATACACTTGATTTAAATTGAGCATAATGAACATACATAGGACATGCCATACAGTAGTGTACTGTAGTTGTTACCAGATGATTCTACCAGTTTACCTTTTGTATACTGTAGATGTTATGATAGACATTTTTATTTGTAGTGCACTTTGCCTGTTTCTAGCCAGATTAGATGACATTTTGAAAGGCAGTCTTTGCAAGGAAACTGGATGCCATGCCATTACAGGTGTAACATAGCAGCTCCCTTGTTTGAAAATATAAAGAAACAATGATTACTGTACAATAAATAAATTATATACAGTACAGGAGGTCCCCAACTTACGAACGCCCACCAATACGAACGAGGTTAAACTTGAAATTTACAGTATTTTATTTACCTGATGACTTATTTTACTTTCATTTACTCTCTTTTGTCATTCTATTTCTTCTTTTATCTTAAATTAAGTGATTTTAGATGTACAGTATATAAGGACTTAGGCTATGATATAGTGGGATTTTAAACATTGTTTTGTAAGTACGGTGTGCACGTTACATGTGTTCCAACAAATCCAACTTACAAATGTCCTCAGGAACAACCCGTTCGTAACCCGTGGACCTCCTGAATATATACAGTATATACGGTATATATAAGAGGTGGTATCCCCATTAGTCGGAACAATTGGTGCAGAGCACTTCTGGGGATGAGAGATTTCTGGCTAACTAGACGACTTTCTCCAACACGGAAAAATTCCTTATTCCCGGAATATTTTCCGGTTACTGGGAAAAGTTTCCGAGTGTCTAAACTAGACATCTTGCACACACAGACACTAGTCCACTTCCCCAGAATGTTTCTGGGTGCTGGGGATGTTTTCCTTGAGTCTAAACTACTGGAGTCCATAAATGCAGTTATAATTAAGTTAGAAACTCCATTTCTTTAATATAGTAATCCAGAAAAGTTTATCTAAGAGTTTGGTAAAATAAATATTTTTGAAAATTAATAATCTATAAGATATGGGCATGAATGAAGTAGTGTGTTACAGCAAAGACTGTTGTTTTCCACTCCCATGGAGCTGTGGGGGATTAGTGGGTCTCGTGTACCTGAAGATGTCTTGAATAAACACGAAACCTGAAGTATTTTGTGGAGATTATGGTAAGTACAATAGAACGTCGATTTAAAGCGATTCAATTTATGATTATTGAATTAAAGCAACACCCACAATTAAGGACAATGTTTTAATTTAAAGCGAATCTTTCCTATTTTCCGCGAGTCAATCTGGCGCATCGTATTTTAAAATTCGCGCCTAATGTTTCTCTGGGCACACTACACTGTCCTAAGGGCAAAGCTGTACTGTGCATGTACTCAAAATAATGTACTAAATGATTACTAAAATTTTTGTCTAATGCAAATTATACCATGTTTATATTCAAATTAATCACTCTCTTATAAGAATTCCAGCAATGTTAATTATATTCTCCCATGTCAGTTCAGTGACATTTTATAAGAGACAAACTTAGTCACTCTTAAGGACTGATAAATAAATAAGCACTCGACCTTGGCATCAACTGTCAAACATATCACCCCCCCCATCTTCCCATCAGCTGATCCTAGTGAACAGACTAGTTTAGTTGTGTTGACTTATGAGTGTTTGTTTTAACATAATACTACAAAAAACAATGTTTTGTTTATTTTAGGAGATGGGCTGAGGTGCATCTGGGTAGACTCTCAGTCTTTTTAGTATTTTGTCTTTCTCTCAAGTACCAAACTAAATTTTTTCATTGAAACAACACTTTGATTTAGTGCGAATTTGATTTAAAGCGGCCTCTCTTAGAACGTATCTTGCGTTATATCGACGTTTTACTGTACTGTATAAGTATAAATGAGCAAAGTTGTATCCCTTCAACATTACATTACATAACATTTTAAAATATGGAGTTAGAAAGCAGAAAGGTGTGGGTGATTAGAGAGATGGAGTGGAAATGAGTGTTGCCAAGCACTCCTCAAGAGCTGATACTTAACTCACAGTCACACTCACGCAAATATGTCACACAATAAGACCCTCACTCCTTATGTCTGCTGTCTTAATTCCCTTGTTAGGGGTATGTGAGTGGTGTTGGAGCTGTGATGGTGGGGCGTGGTAGATGAACCTTTTTGGGGGTAAGGGGGAGGGTTGCATAGTCACCCCTTCCTCACTCAAGCATGGCAAATGCTGTGATAGGGAGATGAACTTGTTACCATATTGATCCTTAATAAATTCTCTACAAAACATTTCCAATAAGATATCCTTAAACAAAATATTTCTATGTGATATAATGATGGGAATTCCATTCTTTTATATATATAAAAAAAAAAACGTATGAAATGTTGATACTGGAGTCAGTAAAATCAGATATAATTTTGTTAGACATACCATTTATTTTTCATCAAAATAATCCTGAATACTTTATCTAAAAGTTTGGTTAAATAAATATATTTAAAACAAAAGCTCTATATGATGCAGGCGTGAACAGAACTGTTTCTTTTATCCTCTTCACTACTGATCAGTTCGTTAGTCTCTTGGGTGATCGGTCACATCTGTTACACACTTCACTCAATTGACTGTAGTAATACATAACTAATCATGTCTTAACACGTGTCACGAAGGTTGGGTGGGAGATTATTAGGTCACGTTACTAACCTGACCTGATGCAACGTCAGGTCACCCAGTGTTGGGTGGGGATTAGTGGGTTTTATGACCTGAATGTCGTGAATGACATTATGTTTTACCTATGAGGTACTGTATATACATAGTACTATACTGTATTGTATATGAAGGATACATGTATTAATAAGCACAGATTATTACAGTAACATATCTACTAATTAATGAAAAACAAATAAACAATATTGTATCGTGAAGAGTGGACAAACAGTGAGACGATCCGTGGCGTGGTCACTTTTACCCCCCCACCACGGAGAATAGTCTAACGCTTATAAAGTGTAATTGATTTGTCTTACGAGAATATAACTTGTATTAATAGAGTTCTTGTAAGATAGCGATCAATTTGAGTATAAACATCCATTATTTTGCACCATGCATAATAATTTTAGTAATTACCATATCTTAGTACATTTGAGTAAAGGTTCAAAGCTTTGTGACATCACTAATGTATAATGAGTCTCCACATGCCCTGTTTTATTCATTGATCAGTTGTCTAAATGCAAAAGTAGTCCTGTCAAGCTATCATGTATCAATAATTTTGAAATATAAATTATAATGTAAAATGTTATAAGACAATGGATTAGTAGTGCTGTTAATGTGTGTGCTGTGTAAGTGTCTTGGCATGTCACCTCACCATCTGACTCCTGAACAAACTCTTCATCAACTAATTCAAAACCTACAATGTGCTTGGCAAGGTAAAAAAAACACACACACGGGAATTAAGACAACAAGCATCCAGTGAGGGTCTTGTTGTATGACTGAATGGAGGTGAATAAAAGATCAGCTGTTGAGGAGCTTATCACTTGGCAACACTGGTGCATGTTACCACTCCTTAACACTCCATCTCTCTAATCACCCACGCCTTTCTGCTTACTCACTCCATATTTTAAAATGTTATGTTATGTAATGTTGAAGGGATACAACTTTGCTCATTTATACTTATACTTATCACAATCTCCCTAAATATACTTTAGGTTTCGTGTTTATACACCCAAGAAAGGGTGACCTGACATTCCATCAGAAGGACAGTAATATGAGACCACTAATCCCCCACCCTACCTCCACCTGACATTGAGTCAGGTCAAGTCCCCCCCAAAATACTTTAGCGTTCATCTTTATTCAAGACATTTTCAGAAAATGCTCTCGATTTTCAACCCAGGAAAATTTTTCCCAGCCTTGGGAATGATTTTCCGAGCAAATTTCATTTCCAGCTATCGGAGATTTTCGGGTTTGAAGGATTCTGGCTAACGAAAATATTACTGTGTGTACAGTATAGCCTGGGCTTACGCGGATATTTTATACACGATTGGCCATTTACGCGGCACCTGTCCAGACGCGACAATTATTAGTTTTGCGGTACATTCCTTAATTTATGCGGCGGGCAAGGTGCTGGGCGCTGACGTCACCGCTGACGTCAGACTCGTGCCGATGATGTCGCGGACTGTGATTGGGCCACGCATCCTTACCACCCACTCACCCCCTCCGCTGCGCTCTGTGATTGGTCTATTAACCTTGCATGCCCCTACCACCAGGCTGATGACCTTGGCCGCGCCAGTCTCACTGTCCCCGCTTATACTCGCTCGTGCCCGGGAACCTGTTTTGTTTTTTCTTTCTACACAATGGCTACCGCTGGACCCCCACCACCCCTGAGAAGCCCTGAACTACCTGGCCCAAGCCCAAGAAGGTGCGACACGCCTTAAGCTATGAGGTTAAGTACAAGATCGTTCAGGAGTTAGAAAAAGGCACCAGGCAGGTGGATCTGGCCAGACAATATGGAGTGAATGAATCGACGATCCGCACGAACAAGAAGGATGCCGGCAAAATCAATGAACACATGAACATTACCAAGTCTGTAGGTGCCTCGCTGGTGAAATATTGCCACAATAAGGTGCTGCTGAAGACCGAGAGTTGTTTGGTAAGCTATATTATTCGTCAATCAAGAAGAAACATGGCGGTCGACACTCGGGCACATCCCCGTGTTCCCAGCCATCTCTTCTACTAACGTAAGTGTTAAAAAACCTAATATTTTTTATATTTCTCTTAAATATTCATTGTGTGTGCATACCATCATAAAATTAAGATGTTATTTTTACTACAATGTACAGTACAGTACAGTATTGTGTCGGTGATAGCCTAAAAAAGGGTAGTCTAGCGGTCGGCCCAGTCTCTATTTCAATTGATCCCATATGTTCTGTTATTTTATTTACGCGTTTTGCTTTATACGCGGACCTCCATGGGTTTAATTAACTGCGTAAACCCAGACTATGCTGTATACAGTGGTCCCTGAGTTAACGAATGCCTCGGTTAACGAAATTTCGGTTAACGAATTACCTTCCATAAGAATCTTTATTTCGGTTAACGAACAAAAATTCGGTTAACGAAATTCTTACGAAAATGTTTCGACATGCTTTGGCTTGCTCACCAGCTGGAAGATTAGCCCACCAATACAGAAATCGGTTCTAGGGCTTATATTCGTTAAAATTGGAGTAAATATCAAGAAGGTTGTACTATTCAATAATTTTCCAAGTTTTATATTAAATTTTTTAGTCATTTTAACACTTATTAAACATAATTGCAGTACAGGGAACTAGCTTTTGGTGCGCTCATCAGCCACTTCACTCACCCACCAAGGCCTCAGTTTGTATCTCTGTTCAGTGGAGGAAACATCTTGCTTGTGGGTCTCTTGAACATAAACTATTTTTACGTTTTTACAGTACAATTATTGGTCATTCTGAAATTTATTTTACATATTGACAATATATAGTGCAGTGCAGTGTTGATTTAAAGAAAATAATCTTGAATTACACCAAGTGAACTTAAAATTTTATGGGTGAAATGATGGCATGAAGAATGGGGTGATTTCTCTTCCATCCCCACTTCCTTCTCTTCTCCCTTCTCCTCCACCCCCACTTCTAATTCCCATCATCATCATCAACCAGGAGCCTTCTACATACGCACTTCAAAGTAAGTGTACTTTACTGCTTTTTTTTTTTACTTTGTATGTAATTTTCGGTGAGCTGGAACCAATTACCCAAAATCCCATTTAAACAATGGTTTCGGTTAAAAAAAAATTTTGGTTAACGAACGACCTTGTGGAACGAATTGTGTTCGTTAACTGAGGGTCCACTGTGTGTATATATACAGTGGTCCCTCGGTTAATGAGCACAATTCGTTCTAGAAGGTTGCTTGTTAACCGAAAAATTCGTTAACCGAAACCATTGTTTCAATGGGTTTTTGGGTAATTAGTTCCAGCTCACCAAAAATTGCCTAAAGTCAACAAAAAAGGTAGTAAAGTACACTTACTTTGAGGTGTGTATGTAGAAGGCTCCTGGATGATGATGATGATGGGAATTTGAAGTGGGAGGTGGAGGAGGAGAAGGGAGAAGAGAAGGAAGTGGAGGTGGAGGAGAAGCATTTTACTGCTTCTAGGAAGGTGAGTCACCTTCCATGAAAATGTCAGGAACCTCTGGACTGACAGATTCTCCACCATGAACATCCTCTCTCCTTGAAGTGGAAGGGTGAGGGCTAGCATCTTGTTCCCGCTGCCTTTTAGTGAAGAAACTGTCAATTTTTGTCTGTGGGGCATCTCTCCTCCTCCTCATTAACTGATGTTTGAAGAAGGAGACCACTGTGTCCTCAACATTACACAAAGCTAGTTCTGATTTTTCCACATCTGGGTGCCTTGAAGCCAGTTTCCTGAACCTCTCCCAGCGATCAACAACATCTTTCAACTCTGAAGTAGACATATGGTCATCACTTTCCTTTTCCTCCTCACCATTGTCAGCCTCTAACATCTCATCCAGTTGCTGCAAGTCTTCAGGAGTAAGTTCCTGCTCATGAGACATCACAAGCTCTTCCACATCATCCTCCTCCACTTCGAGGCCCAATGACTGACCAATGGACACAATCTCCTGGCCCAACTCTGCTTCTTCCTCAAGTCCCTCAAAATCATGGACTACTGATGACCACAGTGCTTTCCATGAAGAATTGAGGGATCTAGTGGAGACTTCTTGCCATGATGACACAATCAATTTTACAGCCTCCAGGATGTTGAATTGTGTCTTCCAGAACTGTGACAGTGTTAGATCAGGATCAGTGGTAGTTGCCTGATGACACCTCCTAAACATTTTCTTCATGTACAACTTCTTGAAAATGCTGATCACATTCTGGTCCATTGGCTGTATGATTGATGTAGTGTTGGGAGGCAAACACAACACTTTCACAAAGTCAAATTGAGACTCCAAAGTGCTGGCAAGTTGAGGGTCATGACCAGGGGCATTATCCATGAGGAGAAGAGCCTTTAAAGGAAGTTTATTGGTGGTTAGGTAGCTCTTGACAGAAGGGGAAAACACATCAACAGCCCATTCATTAAAGAGCTGTCTTGTCACCCATGCCTTACGGTTGGACTTCCAATAAACTCCAAGCTTTGTTCTTACCACTTTTTGTTGTTTGAATTTTGTTGTTTGAACACCCTGGGGTTCTCAGAGTGGTAGACAAGCATAGGCTTCAGTCGGAAATCCCCTGAAGCATTGGCACCAAGCAATAGAGTGAGTCGGTCCTTCATGGGTTTATGCCCAGGTAAAGAGGCTTCATCTCTGGTGATGAATGTTCTTTTGGGCATTTTCTTCCAGAACAGCCCAGTTTCGTCCACATTGAACACTTGCTGTGGAAGATAATTTTCTTCATCCACCAGTTTGTTAAAGTCCACTACAAACTTTGCTGCTCCTTCTTTATCTGCACTTGTAGCCTCACCATGCCTCACCATGTTCATTTTTGTAGGTGTGGAATTGTCAAGTGAGGGTGGTAGTGTGGCGTCTGCTGCCGAGTCTGGTGTTCCCGGGATGGCGAGTCAGCTTCCGAGTCTAGTGTTCCTTTTCTTTTCGGGAAATTGCCCACCTTGGCACAGGTCATCACCCCACAACGGGGTCTAGGGTGGTGTTCCCGAGTCTAGTGTTCATTGGTGCTTTAGTTAGTAAGAAAATAAACTCGTTAAGTCAAGTTTAGTCACTTTTATTGGCCTCTTGAACCTAACCCTATTTTCCCCATTGATTACATGTACTTAATTATACATGGCGAACATCCTTGGACCCTATCTCGCGATACATCCCGACTCTACTGTATACTGTATATAATAGAAGATGACTACAGTATTTAGGTTTGTGTAATCACTACAAGTATGTTGTCTCTTTCAGGATCCATCATGGCTGTCACAGTGGCAGACATTAATGCATCTGGTAAAACAAATCGTTTTGTAGGGATCTGTATTCAGCGAGGAGGAACAGGTCTACGAGCTTGGTTTATTCTTCGAAATGTTATTGATCATCAGGGTAAGAGAAATTACTTTGTACATCGATAAAAAGATAAGATGTTAGAATACCAGTCTCTGAATTACACACTCATCTATATGTAGTAGAGTACTGTATAAAAATACTCTACAGTACCCTGTGCAGGAGTAGTCCTCCAGGATGACGCATGCCTGGCCTTGACGCTCTCCCAAACAATGCATACATTGTACCTTTGATATATTGTGAGAGTGGGACCATGAAATAGAGAATCCCTATATTGATCTGTGCACGTATTACAATAGGTACTACTTTATAGGGTACTGGACTGTAGCCCCAATGGTACACCAAAAAGTTTCTTTAAGACATATATTTCACCTGAGTGATCCCTCCACTAGACCAACTAGATGACGGGTCCCACTTATCACACCACTCTGGCAATCTATCACATCTTTGCAACCTTTACCAAACCTTGGATGAACAAAACAAGATTTATAATACATCTATTGCTCTATCACTAAGCAATACATTTCTATACTCTTGCACATTAAAACTGTAATTCCCGTTTTGATGATTCCCGATATCTTCTGGTACCTAAACCGCGAATTATCGAGACTTCACTGTAAGTGAGGTTATATGGTAAAGTTAGTTTAATTCTTAAGAAAATGTATACAGTATTAGTAGATTTAAAACTTAAAGGCACAGCATAATTGACGGTTTAGATATTTTTGAGGTTTTTAATTATTTCAAGGGTGATTAATTAATAGTAATTAATACAATTTTATGTTTTTGCCTATACAGTAAGTCCTCGCTTAACGTCGGGGTTACGTTCCTGTAAACGCGACATTATACTAAATTATGTTAAGCGGATCAATTTTCCCCATAAGAAATAGATAAAATACGGAAGTTACGTTCCTAAGCCTCCCTTTGCCCCATGAAATACATTACATATACAGAAATTCAAAGCTCCTTGTGTGATGCCCGGTGAGGTGCTTGTATGTATTACTATAAAGTCACACTCATTGAGAGTTATAAGAGAAAAACTTAAAACTCCTCTAACATGACAGATAAATAAATACCACTAGGTAACCTTGGTTGGCCAGCTGTCATAATACATCACCTCCCCCTCCACACTTCCGGCAAGATTGAAGGTGGTTGAGGCTTAAAGTTTTTTCTTATAAAATGTCACAAACTAAAGTTAACAGAATATAAATTGCATTGCTGGAATCCTTGCAAGACAGCGAATGGTATGAATACAGCGGTCCCTTGATTAACGAACGGTTCAATTAACAAAATTTCAGTTAACGAATTAGCTCCCATAAGGATTTTCAGTTTCATTATCGAACAAAACTTCGATTAACGACAGCCTTAGGAGAAACACGCTTTGTTGTACACATCGGCTGATCGGCTAGTCCGCCAATACAGTAATCAGTTCTATGTTTACATTCGTTTCCAGTGGAGTAAATATCAAGAAAGTTGTGTTCTTGAATATTTTGGCATTTTTTATATTAAAATTATTGATCATTCTAAAATTTAGCCATCCAAGCTCTGTCTACATAAAGTTTTTCAAATTTTTTTTGCTCATATATGTAACTTTATTCATTTATTGAACTCATTTACATGCACACACTGTCCTAAGGGCAAAGCTGTACTGTGCATGTAATGAAAATAATGTACAAAATGATTAAAAAAAATTTTGTCTAGTGCAAACTATAGCATGTTTATATTCAAATTAATCACTATCTTATAAGAATTCCAGCAATGTAAATTATATTCTCCCCGGTCACTTCTGTGACATTTTATAAGCAAAAAACAAAATTTGAATCTAAAGGACATAAATAAACAAATAAATACTTCACTAGACCTTCTGTGCCAACTGTCAAACATGTCACTGTCACCTCCCCTTCCCCCCCCCCCACTCCCAGCCAGGGTTTGGTGGTTTTATACTTAAAGTTTTTATCTTATATAATATCACAAACTAAAGTTAGGAGAATATAATTTGCATTACTGGAATCCTTGCAAGGCAGCAAATAATTTGAATATAAATGTCATATATTTTGCACAAGAGATAAAAATTAATCACCTGTATCACATTACAGTAGTGATTTAAGAGTTCTAGTGTATATGTATGTATATACTGTACAGTATTACCCCGCTTTACGCTGTCTCACTTTCCGCGTTTTCTCATTTACGCGGTGCCTCGCCAGAACCGAACTTTCACTTTCTGCGGTTCATCTACCCATATACGCGCAGAGTGTCTGGCTCGACGCTATTTTTAGATTCGCCCCTCCCGCCTGCTCCTGCCTCCGCAAGCCGCGCGGTAAGGTTGCGCAGTGCATGTGTCTGTTGCGTTATCAGTGACATCATATGATGTATCGGACTGTGATTGACCATGCATCCCTACCTCCCTCCGCTGCTAGCTGTAATTGGTTTAAAGTAATATGACGTGTCCACCCGCGGGAGGGAGGGAGGAAAGACGACGCTTGACCTAACCGCGGCAGTTTCATCCCTCCAGGCCACACCGTGTATACGTGCATCCATTGTTCTGTGAAATGGCTTCCGCCGGACCACCGCCACCAGAGAGAAACCTTTCCTTACCTGGACCCAGCCGCCCTAAGCCAAAGAAGATATGCCGTTCCCTAAGCTACGAAGTGAAATATCAGATAATTCAAGATTTGGAGAAAGGAACACGTCAAGCTGATCTCGCGCGCCAGCATGGAGTGAACGAATCTACGATTCGTACTATTAAGAAGGATGCAGCCAAGATCAAAGAGCACATGAGAATCACAAAGTCTGCAGGTGCCTCAATGATCAAGTATTGCCAGAACAAGGTGCTGCTAAAGGTGGAAAATTTGCTGGTGAGTTACTTGATTCGTCAGGCGCGACGCAACATGGCGGTGGACACGCGATCTGTTCAAGAGTACGCACGTGAACTGTATGCAGCTGTGTCACGTAAGATGGGAATTGCAGAGCCCAAACCCTTCAATGCTTCCTCTGGTTGGCTGCATAGGTTTAAGAGGAGGAACAATATCACCAACATCAACATTGGTGGTGAAGAAGCGAGTGCTGACCGTGTGGTGGCTAGAGATTTTCCTCCGTTCTTACGTGAGGTTATGGAGGAAGGGCAGTTCACTGATGACCAGGTGTTCAACATGGACGAATCCGGCCTTTTTTGGAAAAAGCTGCCTACCAAGACCTTTGTTGTCCAGTCTGCCAGCAAGGTTTGGGGTCGGAAGTTGCAGAAGGAGCGCATCACCGTCCTCTTTACCACCAATGCCTCCGGTACCTGTAAACCAAAGTTATCGGTGATTCACACAGCCCGCAAGCCGCACGCCTACAAGAACGTGGACATGAGCAAGATTAATGTCCACTGGCTGACCGCACGCAAGGCGTGGATGTTCTCTGCTCTGTCACTCTCCTGGTTTGATGACTGTTTCATTCCCGACGTGAAGAAATTCTGCGAGCAAAAAAATGTTCCATTCAAGATTTTGTAGTTCCTTGACAACGCACCAGGACACTCGCCCCTACTTATGGATCGTCACCCCAACGTAAAAGTGGTCTTCCTTCCTCCCAACACTACGTCATTAATCCAGCCCATGGACCAGGAGTTGATCTGCAATGTTAAAGCTGTATACTCGGCAAAGAAATTCAAGCTCCTGAATGACTGTACCAACACCAAGGATGAGTTCCGTAAGCTGGGTGACACCGACTGCGAGAGTAAAAGCGACGAGGACAAGGAACAAGAGGTGGTGACTCAAGAAGTTCTCGTCAAACAGTTTTGGAAGAAATTTAACGTCAAACAAGCTGTAGACTTCTTGGTGGAGGCATGGGATCAGCTGTCTATAGCTACGATTCGTCACGCATGGAGGCATGTGTTGCATGGCATACCAGGTGAGAGGTGGAGTCAACCTGTGACAGTGGCATTGGACCTTGCAAGAGAAGCTGCGCACAGTATTACAGCTGAAGGCTTCTCCGAGACCACCAACGAAGACATCCTGGAGGTGATCAGAGATCCTGAAGTGACTGCCGACGAGATGTTGGAAGATGATCACGTCAGTGAAGAGGAAGATGGTGGGTCAATCTCGGAAGAACACAAGTTAACGCATAGTCATATTAAGGGTGCCATCGAGTGTGCAGAGAAATTGAAGCTCTTCCTTTCCAACGACCATGACGATGACCGCTATGAAGTCTTCCATGCCCAGCTGGTGCAGGCTATGGAGCCGTACATCACGGTGTATCAAGACAACATCAACACTAGCCGTCAAAAAAGCATTACCGAGTTCTTCTCCCGCAACCCACCACAGCCAGCCAGAGCCAGTGATAGTGACAGTGAAAGTGACTTTGAGGGATTTGTCAGGGAAGCCCTGACAACTATAACTGATAGTGATGGTGATGCACCTAGTAATGGTGATTCACTTGAGGGCCAGTAATCTGCCCTCTGCCTCGGAACCAGCCTCCATCCCTGTATGCCGACCCATCTCTTCTACTAACGTAAGTGTTACACCCAACCTTTAGTTTTCCTAACCTAACCTTTATTTTTCCTAACCTAACCTTTATTTTTCCTAACCTAACCTCTTCTATATTAATTGTGTGTGCATACCATCATAAAGTTAAGATAATATTTTTACTACAACATAGTTGTGTGTCGTCAAAAAGTGGAGTTTGGGGGTCGGGCCAGTCTCTATTGGAATTAATCCCATATGTTCTGTTGTTCACTTTGTGCGGATTTCACTTTACGCGGTACCCTGTGGGTTCAATTGACTGCGTAAATCGGGGTACTACTGTATACTGTATAGTGATTTAAGGGTGATTAAGGAGAGTTTCTGACTTTATGCATTTTTTGGCTTTACTTTGTATATACCTGTACTTTTCTGTGAACTGGAACCAATTACCCAATATCCCATTGAAACAATGGATTCAGTTAACAAAATTTTGGGTTAACAAACGACTCTGTGGAACCAATTGTGTTCGTTAATTGAGGGACCACTGTATAGACATCATATATTTTGTACAAGAGATCAAAATTTTAGTCCCTTAAGTACATT